CTATGGCAGGCAAGGTTTTTCAAGTCAACCTTGACACTCATCTATGACCAATTCAGAGCAGAAAAGTTAGAGAGAAAACTAGTAATGTAAGTAAAGAGCATACTGTAAGAGATTGCAATCTTTACAGAAGAATTCTTTGGTTGCAATTGGATACATCTAGGACTTCTTAATCCAAGCATGCACTTTCCATTTGTGTTCTTCTTTTGCTAAGCACTTATCCATCAAAGATACAAACCAAAATTGTGAAATGTAAACAAAGGTTGATCATGCCGATGATGTGATTCCCAACGAAGAGAAGGAAAAAAAAGAGAGAGAAAATCAACAGAATTGGCCGGCGAGCGAATAATAAAACCCTCTAAGCAAACACAAAGACCGATTGTTGAAGAAACGAGAGCCAAAGGATAAGTGAGTACCAATGGTAGTAGCAGAAGAAGGAATCAAGATCTGAAGCAAGGCCGCTTTGATTTGAAGCATATCGCACTGTGCGTGTGCTTTCATCTTCATCGACTCGAGTCGGACCTGTAGATCCTTGATTGCATGATGTACTAGATCTCTTGTGGTGCTGCTGTCTTCATGTTGGTGGTCCGTTAGATGGGTGATCAAACAGCTCAGATGGACCCATTCGGATCCCTCGAAATCGTAGATCATCATCTCCGATCTCGGGTCATACACTTTCGTACACTTGCATCCAAACTGATCATTTGGTGTTAGATTTATCGTTTCCTGCTTTTTTTTGTGTGTGTAACAGCGGTCAGTCATCCACTTGACCAAGAATGCGAGTTTCCAAAAACAAAAACAAAATAAACGCACAAATAGCCCGTTTGACTGTTGTCCAGAATTTTTACGCGAAAGGGTACGTCTAGGCGGATGGTTCAAGCGCAAATGTAGCCGATAATAAAACCGATCGACGCCGATGGATTGCAGCATATGATTATCATCAATCCTCGAGTGATTGATGGCCTTTTTCTCCAGCGTTTGCCAACAACAACGTTCGAAGATTGGACACTGGTTATTCTGAGGTGACACTTGGTCATCAAACTTATAAATATCTGCTTTGCCTGTTTTTCGATTCCCCGAGTCTCTTCAGTAAAGTGACAGAAGAAATGATGTCTTGTGGGAGGATGATAGGGTTACAAACTCCCAATCAAGGTGAGATATTTTTATGGGGACGAAAACTGACCAGCCAGACTGTTGATGTGGATGATACTCGAATGATCCGTTCTGATCAATTCTTTGTCTTGGAATCGGAAATCGTTTGATCGGAGTTTGTTTTGGTTGGATCTGAACCCGATCTTTTTCAACTTGCCTACGATCCTATAACAAAAAAAGAGAGATTTTGAATCAAAGCGGATTAGTTGGTTCTTGTAACATCCTTCCGACGCCAATCACAGTTTCTTTCCAAGTTTTTTTTTTTTTTTTGATCGATTAATGTGACCTACTTTCGGAAGACGGGATTATTTTTCATCGAGTTCTCGAAATCATCGAGTCTATAGAACCATTCCACCTTCAAGAAAACTGCAGTTCGAGGGTCCGTCTCCAGACGATCTTCATCCTCGAAGCTACGCCGTGTCTTGATTTCTTTGATCAACGCCAACCAATATCGTTCGACTTCGAGGTCTTGTTCTGGCCCTTCTTCGTCTCCAATATCTGGTCTAGTTTTCTTCCAAGCGACAACACAATCAGCATTTTAAGTCAAGAACTTTCTTTCAATCAGCCACTGGTTTTTTCTTTCTAAGCATGGATGTTTTTTTTACTCACACCACAAAGACTGCATCTCCTTTCCGAAACTTTTGGTGATCAACAACAACCTGATCTAAGTTCAACAGTCGATTGAATTGCTGATCAGATACGACTTCTTCTGAATGATTAATTTCAACCGATGAATCACGACTGATCGAACCGACTCTTCTCTGGCGGTTGGTGTGTTTTGGGGTCTTCTTCTTCTTCTTCTTCATGGGCTGGTTGTGCTGATGATGATTTTTAGAAAATCGATGGACTGAAGATATTAATGTTTTCTGTCTTCTTTGAAGTCCTGTCGATGGTTCTTTGATTGATGGAGGATCATACTTAGGAATCAAGACGCCAAGGAAATGCGATTTGGCGATTGGTTTTATGGAGCTGTTTTGAGTTGTTATGGGATCCTCAATAGATGGTGTTGGATTGGATGGGCTCGGGTGTGGGTAGTTGTTGAGGGAGCGGTCGAAGAATCGGTTGAGGTTGTTCCTGTTGAGGAGAAGTGGATCCGTGCAGGCAGGAGAGGGTGAGTATTGGGGTGGTCGTTGTTGGGTGATAGTTCTTCTTGAGATCGTGTTGGGTACTGTTCTTACCATTCTGGCAGTTCAGTGGTCAGTTGGCGTGAAAAAAAGTTGAACAAGTTGATCGGGATCAAGTTCAACCCGGAGCTTGTCTAAGCCCCTCCGGAGCCCGAAGGAGCCTCCTCCGGGGGACCCTGGGGTACGACCTGTTCGGATCAAGCCGGGAAAATAGCTCGGGAGTTACATATGTATGGTGTATCAAGCCACGCTGGGCACAATCCCAAGTCCCGCTTGGCCGAGTGCCACGGGGGCCTGGGAGTGTGCCCAGGGGGCTTGATTGAGCAGCTTGCGCGGGGCTCGGATCTTGGCACACAGCCAAGTCCCGCTTGGCCGACCCCAAGCGCTGGGCCGATGAGATCATCGACACACCCCGACCTCAACTCCTCATCTTGTCCGACACACCATCACCTCCTCATCTTGTCCGGCACACCATCACCTCATCATTTTGTCTGACACACCAACGAAAATGTAAGTGTTTTCTTTTCTTTACCTGGTATCCTTTTTATCTGCATACTTGACCGTTGTTTTTATTGACTTATCTTTTACTTTTTGCTTTTTTCCAGATGTCCGACTCTGCGGTGATGGACTCGACCGAGCTGGAGATCATCGAGGCGAATAAGAAAAGGTCGCAAGCGCTTGTTGAGGAGCTTCGAGATCTGAACAAGGAGACGGCCCAAAAGGAAGCGATCATAAAAGCTAAAGGTAACATCGACAAAGCTAGGACCTATAAAAGCGACCGACTTACTCACAAGGAGCGCAAGGCAAACGCAATCATCAAGCCCGAGGTTCGCGAGCTGATCCGCGAAAATGTCAACGGAAAGGGAATGAAGATCGCCGATGCTATGAAGACATTCAATGTCTCTCGGCGCCAAATCCAACGCATCAAGGTCGAGGATCCAAATCAAGTGAAAACCCGCGAAAAACGTCCCAGCAAGTTTACCGATGATATGAAGACAGAGCTCCTCATGGAACTTGATCAAAAATTGACAACTACCCTCCCTGAGATGGCGAAATTCCTCCTAGAGCGATTCGACGTCAAGGTCTCAACTCAGGCAATCAGTAACCTGATCCATGATATGGATATATCATGGAAACAGGTTACTAACATACCTGCTTCCTGGAACAAGACCGATCTCATCGAGCAGCGAGCCAACTTTGTCAACCGACGTGGTTTGGACTTAGGCCAAAAAGTTGTTTTTGTTGACGAGGCCGGATTTGATCTCCATTCTGGTCGGGCATTTGGATATGCCCCCTCTGGTATGTTATCTTTCTTTTTTTTGCAATTTTAACTTCTTTGTTTTGGATTGCTGATGTTTCTCATTTTCCATCATTTCCAGGTCAGCCGGCAGTGCTTAGCCTTGTTCCCAAGGCTAAGCAGGTGACATTGATAGGGGCCCTCTCAGTGGAGGGATTTGATTACTACGAACTGCTCAATGCCGACAACACCAAGGCAAAAGGGGTAGGGGCAGATGAATTCTGCCTCTTCCTTGGAAGCCTTGGTGCTCGACTTCCCAACGACTCGATCATCATCATGGATAACGCCCCAATCCATCAAGGCGACCGTTTTGAGGAGGTTAAAAGATTGCTTGAGGCCTCGAAATCAATCAAACTCGAATTCCTCCCTCCATACTCCCCCTTCCTCAACCCGATTGAGTACAGCTTCCACTCGATCAAGTCCTACGTACGATCGAAGGAGCCACCCAACCGAATGGCATTGGTTGAAGAAATCAAACAAGGGATCGAAGAGTCAATCACCCCCGAAAAATCCCGTAACTTCTTTTCTCATTGTCAGCGCTTGTACCGACCCTGCGCCGAGTTTCAGCAAATTACAGGTCCAGTTTTGGCCTCTGCTCCATGAAGGTTTTTTTTTTTCTTTCTTTCATTCCAAAAAAAAGTACGTATAAAAATAAATATAAAAAATAATAATTGTAACCAAAAAATAACAAATGTAACCGATGACTTTGTTGTAAAGCTATGTATAGCCTCAAGCATTTAACCCAATAATAACCCTAACCCCCCCCCCAATGAGTTCTAGGACGAGAGGAGTGAGAAGTGAGCTGGGTTGAGGATCGAGGTGGTGGGTGGTTTTGGCGCGGGTGGCACCCTCGCTTGGGCTCGGCCAAGCGAGGCTTTGCCCCGACCCCCGCCAACTTTGGCATGTGCCAAGCGGGGGTTGGGAGGGTGCCAAAATGGCTTTAGGGTGTGCCACGCGCGCTTGGGGATCGGCCAAGCACGCTTGGCTTGTTTTTCGCCCAACTCGGGCATGTGCCCAGCGTGGCTTGATACACCATATGCACCCGAACTCCAAACTCCGAAGTGCGCTCGCCAAAGACGCAGGCCTTGTTTGGCCGTCCATGATCGTCATAAACAATCATGGCAAATATTTCGGGGGTGCACAGCTGAAGACGGGGCCTCACGATGGTGTTTGGGAGGCCACGTCATATCTACTTTCTTTATGATGGAAGTGGTCAGCAAGATATATTCCCTGCCAATTCCAACATCTTGGGTCCCCCAAAATTTCCCGTCAAAAGGCCTCACAGCAAGTTTGAGAAGGATTTTCAGGCTGCATCATTTGCACAGCCTGGAATCATCAAACCTAGACTCTGATTTAACGACTTGAGACGATGGTCTATTACAATTGTGGATGGCCAAACGAGGCCGCAATTTGGCGACTGCACTAATGCAAATTCCGGATAAGAACACGCCTTCACTCCTTCAAGGCCAAGGGCTGATCCACTGGCAGGTACATAACATCTAGGCCCATGTTAGGATGCTTATAGCCAGTAGTATGCTTCTATCAAAACTCATTTGGATTTAGTGTACAGTGCCTAGACAGTGAAAAGTGGGTGCTTATTTTGGATTCCAGAGCCCCAGAACACAAATTTGAAATCATGAGACTTGGTCAGCTGGTGCATAATAGGTCCCAAAAAATGAATATGAAATAATAAAAGCAAAAAATAAAGTTTCAAAATTTGTGAAAAATAAAAAATAAAATTGATTTTTTTCACAAGAATTGATATTCATTTTGGGGGAGTGGGAGTGCTGAGAGAACAAAAGATTGGGAAATGAGAAGAATGATTATAAATGAAAATTTTGGAAAAACTGGTTTTCAGATGGCTTCAAACAGCTGTTGAGTGGAGCATTCACCAGCCCACATTGCAGCAAAGCACTAGAATTTACTGTTTTGGCTCCAATCTGGACCACCAACCTGGCTAAACCTTTTTTGGTTCCAATTTTTTTCATTTATAATCATTCTTCCCATGTTCCATTCTTTCTTTCTCTCAGCACTCTCACTCCCCCAAAATGAATATCAATTCTTTTGAAAAAAATCAATTTTATTTTTTATTTTTCACAAATTTTCAAACTTTATTTTTTGCTTTTATTATTTCATATTCATTTTTTGAGACCTATTATGCACCACCTGACCCAGTCTCATGACTTCAAGTTTGTATTTCAGAGCTCTGGAATCCAAAATAAGCAGCCACTTTTCACTGTCTACCCACTGTACAGCCGGCTCTGATCCTCTGATCCTTCCCTCACTGAATCTAAACTACATTTATCTTTGTGTTCAGCCAACTGTCACAAGACTCATGCCAATGACTCTCAGCTCCCAGCCTGGTCCACCTCAACAGCCCAGAC